CGGCGCGAATCCCAGCTGAGTGGGAATGCCATAGTGCCACATTCATAAGGAGCCATTACAACTTGACTTTCAGTCCTTTAGTCAGCAACTCCGCACTAACATACACTGGGCTGACCACGCGGTCCGAGTTATCTCTTCAGTTGGCAATCTTCCACGCTATGTCTGTTAGGCGCGCCCGATTGTTTATATTGAGCAAAGTGAGCTGGGCCATTGACCCCCCCCCTCCCCACAGTGTCCCCTACCTACTTAAGTTTTTCAATCCTGCCCTTTTAATACTTTCGTCTACTCAGTAAGTAAGTAAGGTAAGCTACCGTTTACTTGACAGTATTCTCATATTTTTCTTGTGATTAGATCTGTTCAGATGAGATCGCCTCTGTACGAAGTCATTGCAAGGCTGCAGGTGGACTATGGCGTACGCGGAGTCCAACAGGTCTCCTCCGTGGAGGATCTGGCGACCATGGTCTGCAACTACACAAAGTCCATTTGTCAGCGTCCATTCAAGTCAGTCCAGCATTATTTTTTTACCTTGGGCTATAGCTGCTGTGTTTCCACTCCTCTCTCCTATGCGCCGTACCCTTCCTGATTCTAAAACCAAATTGTTACGGATGACTGGCTAGCCTCTTAATTGAAACGCGACTGCCTAGGACTGTACAGTTGGGTGTCGCCGGCCCTCAGGCGTTGTAACCGGATCGCGCAGACAGTAACTCCCCGATTGGGCTGCTTGGGGAGGTGAGGGTGCCTCCGAAATCGATTACATTTATTTCCGCCCACAGCCACATCATGTGGCTTTCATGTTCGACCGTGGCAATCTCGACGTCCACCGTGTGTGAATCATGAAGCAGGCGCACCGTTTTTGATTTTTACGTAGACTAGGTGCAGCATCTATCTCATCGCCTCTCCAAAAGCCAAGCAGTCTCTACGCGTGCCACACACACGTGATCAGTCCCTACCAGACGTGTACTGATAGATTGAAGTGGCATGAAGAAGAAGCCATGCCGCCCTCCGTCCTGGGAGGAGGATCTAGGTATTCCGTCAGTAGGCAACCTTCCGGGCCAAGATATCTTGGTCCGTTCTATTTATTATAGTAAGGGTTGCGCTGATGTGCCGTGGAATGGTATCTCTCCAGTGTCGGTCTCATTCCCCCTTCTCGCCAACGTGCTTAGTCGACAGGCCGAACTTTTCAACCAGATATTAATGTGATTCGTTGATGAACTTTCACCTGACCGCCAACAGAACTCATCTGTCATGCTCTGCCTTGGGCTTCGACATAGGCCCCAACAGCTGGTAGTAGGTAGTTAGTATTGCTGGCATAGACAAAGGAGACTGGTCAGCTAGTCGTACCTAGACCCAAGTGGTGCTCCACCTGAGCCTCGAACTCGTGACCTTTTTGATCAGAGCGCAACGCCCTAACCATTGAGCCACGAGCTCAATGTCTCACCGGTTTAGGTTAGGGGATTAATGTGATTGGGCACAGCAGCTGACGTGGCTTAAGGGCCTGCGGTCTATGGTGTCACGCACACGCATGATGAAGCAATTATGGGCCGCTGCGGACTCATCGCCGCCCAGTGAGTTTGTGTCTGATCTCCGTTTTGGTGCAGTGGCCCGACATAGGGAAGAAGATGAAGAAAGCTCTTCGCTCAGCTGAATTATGTCTTTGTTCCTCTGAGTTTTCAAACTCTTGCTGGAGTCTATCGTTAGAAATAAAAGTGGCAACAAAGCCAGCAACAATTATAGAGGGCAGAGGCCAATTAGACACCAGTTATGCGAGTCTGGAGGTAACGGCGCAGGGCTCTGTATGTCCACGCCAGATCGATATATCGATTGACCGAGTTCTCGGCGGTGACTAAGATTTCAATCCATTCATAGTTTGCCTTTGGCATGGGCGATTATTTTCGTGGCTTCGAAGTTAAACTTGTGACTCCATTTTACATGCTAGCTTATCCTCGTGTATGCGCGATTAAGGCATGTGTCCAGCCTGTCCTTTGTAGTTTCGACTTCAGTTTGGGCATGGACTGTCGTACACCCAACTACTCACTAGCATTAAATCCTTCCTTAATTTTCATGACCTTGCTGTGCCTGGTAGGCTTGGGCCGGTGC